ACTGGTTTGGGAACAGATTTTACCCTGTCCTGGGATAAAGAGGAGTGTGCAGGTATGCACAGGTATGTAGCTGGGCTCCGTTCTTTGTCTCTTAGAGTGAAAGAAGAGACTGGCCACCCCTAGAAACCATGCCTCAGTCTACAGGAATCACTGGGGCTGCCCAGTGATGCTTCAGATGCTGGCATTTCTTTAACCTTTAAAGAATGTCTGCAAGGTGCGAACGCTTTCTATGAGCAATGATGCTGCACTTTTCTCTAGTTGTGGTTTCTCCTGGTATCTCTACTCTTTGAAACCCATCTTTGTAAATAACGGGTTTCAATAGGTTTTGGGGGATTCCATTTATGAAAATGTGAATAGAAGTCTCTGTGTTTGTTACTGCAGCTTAAAGGTTACTGAAGATTCATTATGCTAAAACAATGATATCTTAGCAGGTAACACATCTTTGGCAGCTCTTCAAAGGTGTACTTCGGAATGGAAAAGAAAGGAGATTACATAATCATCATGGGTTTGATTTGTAGAGTTTCTGTATAATTTTTAATAGTCCATAGTACCTATACAACAACCTTTATTAGAAACACAGTTAATCATATTGATTGAATATTTAAAATTTTAATACTTTTTAAAAATCAAAGTGTTTAGTGTTGCTTTGACAGTCCACTTAAAAGTTTAAGCATAGAATTTAAATGCCATGGAATTTTACCTGAGTTTAGTATATAAAAACCTCCTCGGTTGAGGGTTAACAAAAATAAAAATAAATACACACCCAGGGGATACTAAATATGATTGAGAGGCTTAAACAGAGGAATACTACAGTATCGAGAATCTGTGAGGAAATTTTATTACAGTTGAGATTGTGTAACTCAGAATAATAAGGCTCATTCATATCTAAATATATGAAGATTATACAAATATACACAGCATGTGAACCACTCAGTTTCATTATTACAAAATATAAAACAAAACAGATTTAACTGGAAGTGAAAATTAAACCCTAGAACATGATTCAAAGAGAAGACCTTGTATAACTTTAAACTGTGAACTGTGCTGTATGATTTAGAATATTACACTTTGTTGAGGAAGGAAATGAACTTCAGTTGTCCATTTCAGTTAGAAATAAGAAATGAACTTTTGAACATGTACTTACTTTCCAAATGCATAAGTCAAATTGAACACAGATTCTTAAAAAAATATATATTTTGTTGATTTTTTACAGAGAGGAAGGGAGAGGGATAGAGAGTTAGAAACATCTATGAGAGAGAAACACTGACCAGCTGCCTCCTGCACACCTCCTACTGGGGATGTGCCCACAACCAAGGTACCTCCGGAATCAAACCCGGGACCCATCAGTCCGCAGGCCGACGCTCTATCCACTGAGCCAAACCGGTTAGGGCAGATTCTTAATCTTTTTTAAAATAAATCTATTTCAATATATTGAAGTATAAGTCTAACCAACTGTCGTTTCCAGTAAGGTAATTTTACAAGCGACGGGTTAAATGAAGAGCTCAGTCTGGCTGACAGCAGGTCAGAAACCTTTGGCCATCGTCTTCCCTCTGACTCAGGTCTGATTCCAGGATAAAATGACCGCTGGCAGAGGGGGAAGAAGGCCAAAAAGGGCAAGGACTTGAGATACTTCAAATGTCAATGGGACTTGGAAGGGCTGTGAGAGGGGCTGGTGGCTGCTCTTCTCCTACCTCTGGCCGCTGTATTTCCTTTGGAAAGGAGGGTCTGGTTGAAACTTGTAGAAGCAGAGATGCCTCCTTTATGAACACAGCCGCCGCCCGCCCCGCCCCCCCCCCCCCGGCCTCCCCCACAGACTCCCACCCCGGGGTTCTCTGTGGTTTTCTGCGATTATTTCCTTGTCTTTACATCTTCCTATGTTTTCTTCTACTCCTGCATTACATGTTGCCTCGCCATCAATGTCCTCATCAGAATTTCCCCACCTCAAGTCATACTTCTCTCATTGCTCTTGTCCCACTCTCATTTTCTAAGCGATCCTGAAGCTTCAAGTGAAAAGCAATAAATTCCTCACATACCAGAACAAACACAGAAATAAAACCCCCACCTTTTTGGACTAAAAGCTACAGAAATTACATTCTTGTGTCAGTGCCAAACTTTTATGCCTAAGAAAAGTATCCGAGACCCACTTTCCCACTATTTCCACTTCAAGCATACATCTAGGTTAAACTAGAATCTATTGCCACTCTCCCTCATAGTATATACCTCGTATACAAAGTCAGGTCCTATACAGTTGAATTTAAATGCCATTTCAAAAGGTCATTTGACTTTCAATTGTTTTTAACAGAAACACACACACACACACACACACACACACACACACACACACTCGCACACTGACAACACAGGGTGGACTGTATAAATAACTATAGAAATTGTCAAACAAACCAAATGCATAGACAGAAAGGCACCTTACACCACGTGCAATGTTTTATCTCATTCAACATTCGTTTAAACCCTCTTGGGTGCAAAGTATCCAACCAGAGAGAGGGTGGGTGGAAAATGAGCCAGACCAGGTTAGCATCTTCTATGCTATGCTTTCCAGTCACCTGGTACTTCTCCATCAAGGCAAGCTTTGTAATTGCAACTAATTATTACCTTATTTGTTCAGGCCTGTTTCTCCTTCCCACTGGCACATTCTTAGCAAATGAGGAGGATCCCAGTTAATACGCAGCCTGGTGTCGGCCACGGAATAGAAATCCAATCAATATTGACTGAGTAACAGTATGATGTTACGTTGTCAAACACACCGAATAAGGTGGTGAAGAAGAGTGTCAGTTAATACACACACAACTTCCTCTAACAGTCAAAAGTTAGAAGAATTTGTCCACTTAGAGCAGCATCAGAGAGGAAAGATGAATGCTGCCTTAGTGTTTTTCACTCTACAAAGACTTCGAGACCAAATAGCTTTCAAAGCCCAAGGGGACAATGAGCCAACACTCCTATTTTTCCGTATGTTGGAGGAATGAGCTAGCGCTACTCCAGGTAGAATTTTATACTGTTCGGCTAGGGCTTTATTAAATTTCCAGCAAATACTTGCTACTGCCTCTTTGGAAGCCTTCCTAGTAGGTAACTGGAACAGGATTCAATTGAATAAAAGGCAAACAGTAGCTCCATATACCTATTCAGAGTGCATGGAAATTTCATTAAAAATGGCCTTTGCCATTCTAGCCGGTGTGTCTAAGTGGTTACAGCGTCGGCCCTTGTACCGAAGGGTCTCAGGTTCAATTCCCAGCCAAGGGCACACACCTCGGTTGCAGGTTTGTTCCCTGGACCATGGTTGGGGTGCATTTGGGAGGCAACCAGTTGATGTGTCTCTCCTCCATTGATGTTTCTCTCTGTTTGTCTGTCTGTCTCCCTTCTACTTTCTCTCTTAAAAAAAGAAATCAATGGAAAAAATATTCTCAGGTATTAACAACAACGACGAAAAACAAGCCTTTACCTTAAAATTGCATTTCTGTTTATATGCCGATGCTCAAAATCCTTAAAGCATTTATTTTAATAAAATTAAAAGACTTCTTCTGAATGTCCTACAATGAAACTCAGTATGGAATCAATTATTTAAATACCACATATTCTCTTGTAGTCTTATTGTCTGTTTTAGGTTTGTAACTTTTTAAAATCAATAAACCTTATTTTTAGAGCAGTTTTTGAGTGATAGATGTTTATAAATTTTAAAGAGAAAAGTGCAATAAATTAAGTTCTACCAGAGAAATATATTAAAATTTTCAAAGGCTAACATTTATCGTATTAGCACAACACAGTTAAAACAGTTAATTATATATAAATATTAGCAATTAAAAATCATTTAAATATGATCTTTATGTTCATGAATCAAATTTCTATTTCTGTACTAAAATGCAAAATAACATTTTGAAACACGAAATGAAAAATTCTTGTAACAATCATATTAAATATAGTGAGTTACAACCAGGTTATAAGGAATACCATCAAATAACTATTTCAATATAATATCATTACATAAGGCTCCAATTCCAAAATCGCCATTATAGTTTGTAAAATCAAGATCAGCCGGGTCCAGGGAATAATGTATCTTTAAATTTTTTTTGTGTTGCACATTTTCATCTTGACTTTTGTGTATAAGAACACTAGTATTCAAACATAAATGAGATTTAATCCATTTGCCTATAATTTATTTGCTGTAAAAGAAACACCACATTATATGCTTTTGTCTGTTAGTTAAGTAGAAGATACACTATTATTTCCATGATACCAGGGAGTTAATGTTTAATTATCAACACCCATTTGAAAAAAAGACATTGCTTTGACTCACAGATTTCTTAATTGCTAACAGAGGCTTTTCTGAGTAGGAGCACTGTATCTAATTTATTTTGGTGGATGTGACTTGGCGACTGAATTTAAAAACTGGCAAAGCTTTGACTATCTTCACTGTCAGCAGAAAATTCCTCTATCCCTGCTGCTGGAGAATGGTGTTGCTTGAAGTTTTAACAGGGAAAGAAACTGCAGTGAGGCAATTGATACCACTGGTAACTGCTGCTCACAAACTGAAAAAGAAGTTAGGTTGTCAGCAATAAAAATCTATTATTCGCCCAGAACATGAGGTGCCGTCTTCATCACCGTATCTTGCTGGGAATGAAAATGAACTGGGCTGGTTCCAACTTGAGAAAGCTACAGAAAAGCAAAGGGCCCACAGGTCAGGGCACCTTTACAAAGGATCAGCAACCGGCAATCAGAGGGACCACGGCTCGACCCCTCTCTGAGGAAGAAAGACGTTAAACCCATTGCAAGAACACTGGCCACGGCTGGAGTTAGAGCAGGTTCATCCCTGAAAAACAAAACCATTGTTCCATTTTCAGAAGAGCTGGCTAGTTTAAAGTGCCCCTTTCCCTCTGGAACCGGTCATGGTCCACATGTTACTGCAATAAAATGAGTAAGAGAAAAAGAATATATGTACTTAAATGACAACTCAGAGATGAAGCCAAAAGTAACAGAAAAATGCCTACCCGTCTGGCTGAGCTGAGAAGCGCTGCGACTTTTCCGGGAGAGGCCAACGATAGCTACCATTTTGGCCCCGATGCTGGAGCGCCGCTTGTGGCCGCCGGGGCCCAGGGCGCCCACCGCCGTGTCCGACTGGCTGCCCTCGCTCTTCTCCAGCGAGCACATGTCGCCGCTGACGCTGGTGCTCTTGGTCATGTTCTTCCCCGAGGCGCCCACTTGTCGGCTTTGCATTTTGGACGTAAAGACACTGTAGGCCGATGGGTCGTTAAGGGTGAAGACGAGAGTAAAAGGGAAAAGACAGAAAGGGTATTTTAGAGGAAACATCTGAGATCGAATGGAAGTCTATCATTTATGGGGCATATTTTGAGGATTACGGTTTTTCAAATACCAGGGTCATGAATGGGCCTTCCTACTCAGGGTGAACCTTAACACGGCTGTGGAAAACGGACGTATCGTTTCACTTCTGGTGTCAAAGAAGATGCCAGTTTGCATGGCCAGAGGAAGAAAAAAATTCATGAAAAATCAGTGGGCTGTCCTGCAAGTGAAAATAAGCTTTGAGGCAGCTGTGTAGCCTAAGGAGGATGTTTCCAAAGCTTCCTCCCCTATTGATTCGCTACTGCCTTCAAAAAGAAATTCGATGGAGTGGGAAAATTTTACCAAAAAAAAAAATGGCGAAAATTACAGCATCCATTCCTCAGAGTGGTCCTTTAAAACAAGTTTTTTTGCTTTATGAAAAACCTAATGAAGTTTATCTAGCAATAGCGAAATCTTCTAACAGGGATTGATGTTTTCATTAGCTTTGAATTAAACATAATTTATTTCACTTCATATAGTTTCATATTTATTGACATAAGTCAATATTAAAAAAGATTTTCCTCTCGCATTCCTTTGGCAACGAAAAATCATTATCGGTTTTCTAGACGGTGGTCAGAAAGCAATCAGTGAGTCCAGGAGGCATGCGAGCTGACTGCAGATCTGCGGGACTGACTCCGTGGATGGAAGTAGTCAGAAAGAGGACCTGGATTTTCTCACGATCACTGCCTGGGGTGGCAGGTAGGGTAAGAAGTTAAAGAATGAGGAAGTAGGCTACCCATAGCCCCATAAGCCTGGAAGAATGTGAAGGAAGCGGCCTGAATGGCAGAAATAGGAGGACTCATTTATGTATCACCAAATTTTGGCTCAGCATGAGAAAGTGACAGTTTCTGCTTTACTTTGATTCTGATCACTCTGAGCATATAACACATAATTACAGAAACAAAATAAAAAATAGAAAACATCAGAAAAAATGTGTACATCGTTTAAAGGATGAAAATAAGAAAACTGACCCACTGAGGTGAGCTCTTATCTCTATTCAATTTCTTGGTCTTAGAAAAACAAAATATTTTTTTCTCTAGCCTAGAGTAAAATCTGCTAAAAGGATAGGACAACTTGTTAATTTTATTAATGTATGTACATGTTCTCCAAATATTTAAGAGGGGAAAGGCTCAATATGAAATTTTAAAAAAATACAGTAAAGTATATTATTTTAACCACCACATTAGTTTCAACAAGAAATGAGGCATAAAGAGAGAGAGAAGCAAAGAGAACAGTGTATATGCTTCTATAAACCTCAAATCGATCATTTTCAAGCTTGTCTGATGTTGCTATTCTTTAATAAGCAACAAAAAACAAAACATTTTAGAGGCATATAAACATGGGCTTGAATCCCAACTTCGCTTTTTCTGAAAGAGTTAATTGCTCTACTCTGAGCGTCCGCTTCCTCTAATGTATAAAATTAGAATTTTCCTTCCTTATTTTCAATAATAGAGATAATATGTCTGAAGTAAAAATTCAATGAATAGAAATTATAATAATTATTTTTAAGGATATGGGCACTAGATAAAATAAGGTCAAACATGTATTATACTATACAGTAAATACGTAAGAGCATCAGTAGAAATAATATTTGCAATTATAAATTTAAAGTGAAACATTTTGAGATTAAATTGTGTAAAACTGTTTTCATGCAGCCAGCATTATCTAAGGGAGAGTAGACTACACTAGGAGTCATGAATTCCGGTTTGTTCTTTGGCTTTGGTGACTGATCTTGGGGGAGCCGTTTCCCTTTCTGGAGTTTGGTTTCCTTGTTCAACAAGTAAGAAAACGTAAGCAAGCACCAAGCAGAAATGAGCTCAAAAACTATTCTCTTCCTCTTTCTCAATATCACCATCATCACCATCATCACCCATTAAGCACCTATTAACATCTTGAACTGGAATATCTGTAAGGTCCCCTTTAACTAGTGGATGCTTTGCTTCTCTAGATATCTCTTGTTCCAGGGACTCTGAGCAAATAAACGCAGAATGCAACGTAAGATTTTCATAGTATGCTGTCATCAGAAAAGGCATGGCATGGCATAGAAAAAGCAGTTTGGGGTTGAGCAAAGGCTTTGAAAATAATAACAAAGGCCCACAGAGTCACAGTAACCTAGTGCTCCTGATATGTAAGAATTTGTACCCCAAACATACATTTTCTAAAAAACCCACCTACTTTATCGATCATGGAAGTCAAAGATATACTCACAAAATATGGCTTACTGGGCCTTCTGATTTCTGATTTTTAATTTTCATGGTTGGATATAAAGGCCATAAAAAACTTGGCCAAAATCAAACGGGACACAATAAAATACTAAATGGAAATGATAAATCAGCATGTAGGTTAATATTTTAATCAGCATTTGGTTTTAAAGAAGTACGCTTCTCTTCAACCTAGCAACTTGGATAATGCATTATCTACCAGAAAGGGTTATTAGACTTTTTGTTAAGATGGATCTACTTTTCATCTCCTTAAAACTTCGAGATCACCAGGGATGAATTTATAAGTAGTTGTGCTGGAATGCTGTTCTGAGGGAGGGTGACTGATGTGAGGGTATCACTATTGGCTTATTTTACTGTCCACAGTGATGTCACCTAAACCTAAAGCAAACAAACTATCAACTATACATTTTAAAGTTTTCGGGCTCTTCATTTATAGAATACTTGTAAAGACTCTGTAAACATGGGTGTCATTTGGAATGCTCGTTGTGCTTAATAAAGCCAAGACCCATTACATCACCAATTACTTTAAAAGACAGAATTTGAAAGGGTCTCGTAATATAAATTTCCAATGTTGCTGGTGGTCTCAGTGATATATTTCTGAGGGGCAATTTGGCAAATATATAAAAAACCTTAAAAAAATAAGCCAACCTTTTAACCTATCAATTCTATTTTTAGGATTGATCCTAAGGAAAATCTTAGCAATGTGTACAGATTTAGCAAGAATGATTATTTATTGAGAATTGATTACAACAGCAAAATAAACACACACGGGAAAACCCCATAAACGTCCAACTATAGAGGGTGTCTGAATAAGTTATGTTCATCAATAAAATAGAATGTACCTTTGAAAATGCTGTTGTAAATAAATATTTATTGACATAAAATATTTTCCTGACATGGAGAAAGGGAGAGAGGAGGCAGACATTTGAGCTTAGTTTTGGCTGGCACACATACTAAATGAGGAATTACCCTAACGCTTGGGGACACAGACAAATTCAACTGCCAGAGACTCTTCAGTGGCACACACAGAGAAACAAAGAAATTCATATAAAAAAAAGAAAGAAACATCTCTTGCTAAATTAGGTAGTTCGGGAAACCTGCGTAAGAATATGAATATGAACAGGGAATATGAAGAAAAATAACTTGTCTGTTGAGGAAGTTTTATATTCTTGGGGGGGAAGTATAAATGCAAAAAGATCTGGATGGAGACACTGGGAACTGTGTCCTAAAGGCAGTTTTCATTTTCTCTGGTTGGTAATTGTGCTTTTAAAAAATGTCCTTTTTAAAAATTTTGTTTCCCCCAAAATGAATATAAAAGGTATTGGCAATAAGAAAAAAAATTAAAAGAAATAAACAAATAAAAAGAGCAATCAAAGACCAACACTCCTTTCCTTTGACGTAGGTAAAATCATTCAACACACACAGTTCATACCACAGACCAAAGGTGTAGCACGGCTTTCAAGCTAATCCAGTTTCCTGCACAATAATATTGGGTGCTGATATAGGCTACGCCGTTTCAGAAAAAGACACAGAGTTTCTACATTTCTACGTTCTGTCTTATGCACATTTTCTAATGTTTGCTTTAGAAAAAAATGAAAAATGATCTATTTAGTAATCTAAAAGTAAAATATATAAAATTGCCAATGCAAGTGATCTATTTCATCACATCCTTATCGTTATTGAAAGTTGTATCGTGAAAGATTTTTTTTGTTTGTTTTTAATATATTTTATTGATTTTTTTACAGAGAGGAAGAGAGAGGGACAGAGAGCCAGAGACATCGATCAGCTGCCTCCTGCATGCCCCCCGCTGGGGATGTGCTGGCAATCCAGGCACATGCCCTTGACCGGAATCGAACCCGGGACCCTTCAGTCTGCAGGCCGACGCTCCATCCGCTGAGTCAAACCGGTCAGGGCAGATTTTTTTTTAATAATTCCTTTTAAAAATATATATTTTTATTTATTTTTAGAGTGGAAAGGACAGGGAGAGGGAGAAACATGAATGATGAGAGAAAATCATGGATCAGCTGCCCCTTGCACACCCTCTACCTGGGATGTGCCCTGAGCGGAATTGAACCCTGACCTCCTGTTTCATAGGTTGACGTCCAACCAATTGATAGCTATCTCAGCTGGGCTAACCTGAAAGATTTTTTTTTTTTATTAAAAAGCAAATCTACTTTGTCAATCATTAGGCAAAAGGTAATGAAAGGTGAGTAAAATATTTGTAAATATTTCCCCAAAGACTTAAATAGCATATCAGTTATAGAAGTATGTGATTAAATTAAATGACGGTTACAGGCCACAGGGTTAAAAGTGTTAATTAATAGATTTGAATGAACAGATCCAAGTGTTTGGCTGTTAAGATAAATAGGAAAGACAAATTCTGAGTTTGTGAGTAGCATTGTAAACAAAATATATAGTCACGTCCAAACAAGAATTTCATTATATTCTTGTTTGAGAGCTGGAAGGTGGTTAGAAGAGAATTCACCCAAGGAATTAGAGGCTGAGGTGATTCAGAATTTTGCGATTAGAGATACTTGGGGCCTAGCAACCAATACAGTGGAGTATGAGAACCAAAGCACATGAACAGAGAAAACACTTAAGGATGGAAAGGAGACAGATAACTTTAGAGTAGAATCATTTATATCTTGGGCTAGGAAGTGGTGCTAGAGAG